TCCAGCTCCCAGCACAAGCCACCTTCTTTCTTTCTCTCACTCTAGGGTAATGTTTTGGTTTTTCACACCGAATTTTCTATATAGCCTGCAGGGAATATTCTCAGAGCAGCATGGAAGTCACGGTGCTCATCAGGGTCGCTTTCCTCCAGCAGTGGGTTTCTGAAGCCATAAGCCAAACCCCTGTCTGTGCAAGGGCTCCCCAGGCTCATCCTGGGCTCAGCTCAGGTTTCCAATGAAGACACACACAGCAAGCAGGGACACCATTGTGATAACCACCTGTCACCTCCAAGCTAGGGACCTGCCACCTCCTGTCACTCTTACCCTACATCCTATATTTCAGAAAACTGACATTGGGCTTTGGGAGTGTTAGGGATCAAACCTGGGACAAATAACCAAGATGCCTACTGACATATCAAAGTGGACTCAGGCCACGCGGTTCTCCCAGCATCGCTCAGTCCCTGCCTATTACAAGGTCCTCCTGGCTGGTATACCCCACCCTAAACATCTGCTCAGGGACTGGACTGGGCTTCCCCTCGCCTCATCTTCTCTGGCCCCTATATAACTCAGTTATTTTGGCTATGTCAGTCTCTTGGCCTGGATGCCCCTCTTGGTCAGCAGAATCTCTCTTGCTCTTTTGTCTCCCTCTCTCAAACATGGCTCGGCTTGTTCTGACCATGTTTACTCTGGACTTTCCCAGATGTCACTGTCTCTGACTGCTTTCCCCTTGTATCAAAAACAAAACAAAACAAAACAAAAAACCCTCAACCCCTTAGGAAGAGTCATGTCCTTCTTTTTCTCATTCTGGGATAGTTGAGAGCAGATTCCTCCCGGTTGGACCCCCTTTTGGATGGGGACAGAGTGATAGCATGAAGAACCAAGTTTCCTTTGGTAGCCATCTAAGGAGAAAGTAGAGGGCCAGGTTCAGCTCCAAGACTGACTGAGAAAGCAGGGCTCCCGTCGCTGTTCAGCCGGGTCCACTCTTGGCTGGGCTGTCTCCCTCTGACTTGAGCTGAGCTAACTGGTGTTTCCTAGGCCTCATTTCACTGAGCCCTCTTCATGATGCCGAAAAGTGGGTGCAGGGAGAAACGCAGGCTGGAAAGGGAGAGTGATTCGCCCTCAGACCAGCGAGAGCAAAGGTGTTTGGGTTCTGTCCAGGGGACACCAAGGTCCCCCATTCCCTTTCCCAGGGTGAGGCACTGTGACAGTGTGACAATGTGCCATTAGTGTGACAAAAGGTAGAGAGGTGGACATGAACCCTCGCCCATCTCACCCTGCCATTGCTTATGGTGTGTGAATCTCAGAACCCAGTGCGAGCTTCCACAGCACTGTCACTGAGCCTTTCCTAAAACCCAAAAGTGTGTGTGGCTGGGGAGCAGAGTGCAATGGTAGAAAACCTCCATGGGGGGTGGGGGGGAACGACACATATGTGCACTGCACACACGTATCATACTTGTGTCCTTCCCCGAACCAGCTACCCACACACAGGCTTGAGTCGTCTGGAGCTGCATGCACACATAAGGAAACTGAGACTGTGAAGGACTGGGAGCCTGGAGCCTCACATCCTGTCCTTCCCACACAGCTTCAAACCTCCAACAACTGAACCCCTTCCTCTCCATCCCTTCCCTAGACAACCTCTCAGCAAACCCTGTATCTCCTCATCCCCCATCCAGGGCAGCCTGGGTGCATGGACCGAGAGCCTAAGCAGAGAAGGCATCACTTAGCCACACCCAGGACCTCCTCAGGCGGGTATTGCCATAAGTACCTCTCACACTCTTGACTGAGACCTCCAGCCAGAGGCTTTACTTCTAGCCAATCACCACCGTCCCTAGGTGGACCTTGACACCAGCTGCCAGGAACTTCCTCTACCTCAGCAGGCGAGAAGGCCCCAGACCAACATGCCATTGTCAAGGACAAGACTGCTATGTCCTCACACATTCCCTATGAGGGTCACTTTCTCAAGGGGAAGAGCATAGGTGTTCAGTGAGTGAATGAATGAATGAATGAATGAATGAATGAATGAATGAATGAATGAGTGACCTCCAGGAGCCAAGTTTTATAAATTCCTCTCTGTGCTTTCCTAACCCTCTATAGTTTAAAATAACAAAAAGATCACAAACTATTTATAGCCATTTCCAGAACGGCATTGCCAAAGAAAGGGAATAGAACCAGGCCACACCTTGGTTGGATAACTGGTCAAATCCCAACTCAGTTCTCACCCTGGGGACACAGTTAAGGACAGGAGGACTCTCAACACCTCCATCCATCTCTGGGGCCCTGCTTCTAGAAGTTTCTAGTAGAGAGAAAGGCGATGAGAACCAAGTGAAGGCTTCAGGCTGCAGGCTCCAGAAAGTGCCACTCTCACAGCCACCCCACCATGGACTCAGCCACCCTGGGCAGCCAGAAGCGGAGTCCCAAGAATCAGCAGCCACCTGTTCACCAATTCCTGGCAGGGACCAGAAAGGCCATGAAGACAGCAGCAGGACACAGAGCAGCTGGGAAGAGCCCCTGAAGCCACAACCAGGAGGCAAGAGCAGGGGGCCCACTGATGCCAGTGTGCCAGGGGCCTGGACAGCAGCTGTAAGGATTTCCGGAAGCCTGGGTGGAGAAGAGTCCGTGATTCCTAGCTCCCCTCTTAAAATATAAAGACTCAATTATCTTTGAGCAGCTTGCTTTACACATGAATTGACACATTTATTTTACAATAAATAACTGAAAGTTATCTGTGTTTCCTTTACTGTTAATCTACACAGAGAAATAATAAACAGGCCTTGTCTACCAAGCTGCAAGGACTGCAGAGTCCTCAGAATTCAATTAAGCTAAAATAATTAATGCTCTCACCATATTAAATTACTTTATACATTTGAGCCACTGATGTTTTATTCTTTAATCTTTCCTTTCTATTAAATGGAGAGAAGAAAGAAAGAAAGAAAGAAAGAAAGAAAGAAAGAAAGAAAGAAAGAAAAGTTGGTACCCCAGTAGGGAGGGACCAGGAGACCCGGGGGTAGAAAGGAAGGGTGGGTTGGGTAGTAAAACTGAAATGGCCAGCTGCAGCTGATGCAGCCTGCAGAGTGCATTGTGCCTTTGATGAGAGTAACATTTTAAATACTCTGAACAAACATATCTCTTTAGATTTCTGAGGGCTTATTCTACCTATTTCTTCTAAAATGAAGAAATCCGTTCCCCCACCTTGCTCCTCTTGGCCTGCCACTGAACAGGAGGGCTGGGGATATCTCCCAACACACGTAAAACAAAAACACTGTGGGTCATTGACAGGAGCAGGGTTGGGTGGGGGCTGGAGGATAAGACAAAGCTGCTGGGAGATTAACCACCTTTTGAAAAGTCACATTTAGCCGTTTTCTTAAGCAAACTTCCCCACGGTGAGCCACAGGCTCTCCTTGGGAGAGACCTTCAATATAAGATGAGGATTTGGAGGCTGGGCTCAGCAGATGAAAGTAAATAGGGACCAGCCACCCCTCAAAGGCTGCTGTATACTGCTAACACCAGGTGTCCCCCCATTTTTTGAAATCCATCCCAAGTGGCATGTCTGACAACACAGACAAGGTACCACCAGACACCCTTGCGGGGTATCATGCTGGCCATGTTTTTAATGCCTGATTATGTTGGCATTGTTTTCATACCTAATTCCTACTAGGTACCCACCAGAAAGCAAAGTCAAGGCCAAGCTAGTCCACAGGTTCCCCCCACTGTCCAGCCTGTGTCCGCAGGGTTTGCAGACTGTCCAGTTACTCCCAGTGTATAGGTAGACAAACTGGGGCCCAAAGGTGTGCCGCTGCCGTGTGGTGGAGGTAGGCTTGCTATGACAATGACTGCCTCTTATGTGAGGTCCTGGTCTATGCTTTGTGTCACCTCCTAAGAACATCCAGTGCCCTGGTGTCCTTAGGGTTCATGATCCAAACACCACAGGGGCTGTCTTTCACCATCTGGCTACCTACTTACATGATGCAAAGCCAGAGGGAACCCGAGAGCGAGTCCCACTGCCAAGGCACTTGTGGAGCCCTGTCTTTCTCCACCCCCACACCAGGCCTGCCAGGGTTATTCTCTCCTTATCGACAAAAGAGGAAACTGAGGCTCAAACTCATGAAGCAGCTAGCCCACAGTCAAAGAGCAGTCATCTGCACAAACTTTAAAGCCTATCTTATTGCCTCCTTGTGGGAACACAGTAAAACATGGTTCCCACATTCCCCAAAAGCAAAAGCTTTGGTTTGCACATTACACAGAGGCTCTCTGGGAGACCCTAGCACACCACGGTATGGCTGGGAAGGAAAGATTTACAGCAAAGTCACCAAGTAGGCACATCCCAGTGAAGGATACAAGTGGTACATGGAGCAGAAAAGTTCTCCTGGTAGAACCAAACAACATGCCAAAAAAGAATATCCCTTCTCCCCTAGGGTATCAGAGCTCAGATGGCTTCCCACATTCTGAGGCTCAGGCAAAATGAGAAGCAGGCTCATGAATCAGAAGGCCTACCCCCTCTTTTCACAGCTGGGGAAACCAAATTCCAAGAGAGGAGACAAATGTCACACGTGAGTACAGGTACGGCTGCACTTAGAATCTTTTGAGTCCTTACAACAGTCGGCACAAAGGGAGGTCTCCTGAACTCCATCTTAGAAATGAGGAAAACACTGTATCCAGGTTGGGAACAACAGAGTCCAAACCAAGCCTGGCTCCAAAACCAGGAACTGAGCCAAGATCACCAACAAAGAGAGGTCCAAGCCAACCCCCAAATTTCCATCTTGTGCTCCAGGCCCCTTCTGGATTAAGCACAAGATAGAGTTCCCTCACCAAAAGCAAAGTAGCCAACATGCAGCAGTTGGGCCTACCTCAGCTGTCTTCCCCAGAGGGTCACAGCCCCAGATAGTGACCCTGAGGCCATCTTGAAAGACCCTGAACCTCCCCAAGAATCAATACTCCAAGGTCAGAGGGACGAGACCAACTGGGGGGCGTGGCTTCAGCAGCTACCAGATGAGCAAATGTCATACCTGTAATGTTCTCCTGCTTGGGACAGATGCCTTTCGTGGGTGACAGTAGGTGGTCATCTTCATCAGGGGTGACCTGGATCCCGATCTCCACTGGCTCGGACACTCTCCTGAGCTCAGAGCGAGAGGAGGGTGGAGGACTGCCCTTGTCCAGGCCCTTGTCGTAGCAGGCGCCCAGGCCCCCACACTGTTTCTTCTTGTGCTCTATAAAAACCAGGATGTCCCCCAGCGGAAAGTTCATCTGACACTGGCCACAGGTGAGTAGGTCAGGGTCGGGGCCACCCACCATCAGCCCCAGGCTGCTAGGTTCCTCTATCTCCAGACCCTCGTCTTCCTCGAGGATGGCAGCCTCCACATGGTCAGCCTCTGCTGGAAACAGAAAGGAGACAGGGGAGGGGCAGAGAAGACAAAGATGGGCTTAGGTGATCACAGGCACCGGCTCCCTCCATCCCTTCCCACTAAAAAGCAGGCCCCTTTACTGCCAGTATCTGCAGCACCCAAATCCTCCCAGAATTGGAGTTCGCCATCCCATACCATCATAGCCCCACGGTCATCACTGATCCTTGGCCCCCTAGAGCACACCTTGCCAATTTCTCCCATCACGCGTGTGTGCACAAGCATGCCACACACACCCAGGCTGCCAGCAGCATCAGCTGGAGGCGAGGCTCTCACACTGCAGGGTATCTGAGCATCGCTCAGAGAGCTTCTCATTCCAGATCAACGACTCAGGAAGCCAAACATCATCATTCTTTAAACTGTCCCAGGTTATTCCAATGGGTGGTAAGGCTGAGAAGCAAGGCAGTAACGCAGTGCCCCAACCCTCACTCCATCTGGAGCTGTGCCCTTTCCCTACCAGCTTTCATTCATGCTCTTAGCCTCCCCATTCATGAGCTTCCTACTCCCATTCTTTTACCTGAGCCCTGGCCAGGCACCAACCTGGGAAACAGAAACCCAGAAAGCTAGACCGGTGTTGGAAAGCCAGTCCTGCCCAGAGAAAGAAGCAAAGTGCTGGGAGAGAGGAGTCAGATTCCAGAACTCAGAAGGGAAAAGCAAACTGAAGAGGAGCTGGTTTCCTTGCACACTGAGCTCCTGATCAGACCTCCATACCCTCATAAAATTCTCAGTGCTCATCAGCTCGCACCGTAGCTCACACCATCCATTTTTACCAGTCGGTTTTCTTTTCATTCCAAGACAGGAAGGAAGGAAGGAAGGAAGGAAGGAAGGAAGGAAGGAAGAAAGGAAGGAAGGAAGAAAAGAGCCTCTTTAGACCTTCAGACCCCAGAATCATTTCTTGGCAAATCTCAAACCACACTTTCAATGGGTTGGATGTTTTTAAATTTCTTCAGCAGTCAGGACACTTGCTTTTGTTGTTTACATTATTATTTTGGAAGGGGCACTGGACCTAAATATTTTGAAGCTAATAAATACTTCGAGAATCAGCCACTCCCTCAAGGGATCCTTGGAAAGCTCAGCATCGAAGTGGCATAATAAATCAAAGGCAGGGACGAGGAGGTTCCGTGTTCCCCTTGGGGTCTGGGCAACCCTAGCTGGAATTCTTCCATGTCATCTGGGCAGAAGGCACAAGTGGCTGGGCCTTCATAGGCTCTGGGAACAGCCACGGGTCTGACACCGAGGAAGAAGGTAAATTTTAAGCTATACAGCAGTTAGAGGAGGGTAATGGTTGGCACAGAGGGCCTGGAGGGGTGAAAAGGAGAGAGATGCATTCCGTGCCAGTGAGGTTATTAATGGGCCAGAGCCAGAGTGGAAAACTGAAGGGCAATACTCGATGGCATCTGCAACATTACAGGGAAGTCGTTGACCCGTGTTTTCTGAGCAGACGCTTGCGTGGGGCCTGTGTGAGTCCATGTGCAAAACTGAATGCAGCATCTGAGGCCCATGACTTAGAATGTGCCACCTGGAACCATGCATGACACAAGAAGAGGAGCAGGTACCACCAGTGGAAGCCACACCTTGAGTCTCTGCCCTCCGTCACTGGGAGGCACAAGGGCCCTCTGTGAATTAAATGTACACAAGCACCCGAAAACATGGCAGTTGAGAAACACCTTGCAGACATGTAAATACTAAATCTGTTGTTTGCAGATTGTTAACAATAACCCCCCCCCCAAAAAAATAGACAGGTAAAGGGGCAATCCTCACCACACCACCCAGAAACCATTAATTACACTTGAAAAAGAAATGGGAGTTTACTTAAAAGGGAGCTTGAAGACAATGCTACGTAATTAATTTACCGATTTATCTTATGAAAAGCTGCCTTGCCATGGTTAAAATGTAATCACAACCTTCAAGCTGGAGGTTCGAGGGAAAGACTAGATTCCTGTAAATCGTTTGTCGGGACGTAAAAGGTAATTATTCGGTGCCTCCTTTCCCTTTAATAATCTAACATTGAGCAATACTGTTTATATTGAAAAGCTTGTACCTTTAATTACCAATTACATATACATAATTTCAGAGCCAAAAGAGAGGGCTGTGCAAACAGTCCTTTAGAAATATAAGGATGTATTGTGCCCCATTTGCAGAAAGGGAACACTAATAAATGGGGAGGTGTCAAAATATTATTTGGTCAAAAAAAAAAGGCACAAAGGAAATGAGCTGAAAAGCAAAAGAAAAAAAGGAAGGCAAAATAAAATTGAGAATTCAAACCAGGCAGGGTGAGGTGCTATATGTGGTATGGTTTACCTGATACTTACAGCCTTTGATAAAAACAATGTACCCACATCCCCAACCCAATGTTGCTTTCCACAGCAAAGGGCTCCATTTTGCCTTTTAACTGAGTCTACCACCAATGATAATAATAATAATAATAATAATAATAATAATAATAATAGTAGTAGTAGTAGTAGTAGTAGTAATAACATTTTTATTATTCTTTATTATCATTATTATTGTTGTTAACTTTTTCAGCCATGTCCACCCACCTGGACAATTCTCTAATGTTTGACTTATGTTCTCTCTGCTAGGAGGTTTCAGGTCACAAAATTTCAAAACAATTCTCTAATTCCAAAGAAACACAGACTAATATAAAAATTAGTAAATGTCATACATGCCTGTTCTCAGTGTCCCTCCCCTCCACACCCTCTTTGACTAAGACTTCAAACCAGCATCTTTTTTTGTAATATCTGGCTGTGTGTCTATCCTATCTATCTGTGTTCAGTCTGTCTGTCTTCTTGCTCTCCTCGTGCATCAAGCCCTGTGAGCCCCAGTAATTGGGTGTGAAGGTCTCCAATACTGTTTACTAAGCTGCCTTTCTGAGTTCTGTGTCTCCCCCTATATAGGCAGCCAACCTGCAGTACCAGAGCCCTACAGACAGGCCAGGCTGTGCCAGCAGAGGCTCAGCTCAGAACTTAGGTCTTGGCTTTAAGACTGGGACCCAACCTATTGCCATTACTATAGGAATTGGGAGGAGAAGGCACCAGGAAAAATAAAAAATAAAAACTACCTCCCTTCCCACTTTCAATGTTGAAAGCAAAGCTCCTGAAGGTGAAGGCATGCTGACCCTGTCAACACCAAGGAAGGAGTGGGGTTTCCTCTCCCTACCCCCAGGCTGTGTGAGTGGATCTCTGAACTCTGGCCTGTTGCTACTGATTCTCTCCTGAAGAAGGTGGCAAGATTGCCCCCCAGCATTCAGGCAGCATAGTTCCACTGAACCCCAACTTTTGGGCTAGAGTGAGTGGACCAGGCAGCTGACTGGGCCTGAAAGCTTAGGCAGAGGCTCTTAGAGACACCCCAAAGTCTGTGGTTTCATTTCCGCTGGCAGGCGGATATGGGCTGGGCATGGTGTGTGTGTGTGTGTGTGTGTGTGTGTGTGTGTGTGTGTCCCTTCTAAGAACTGTATCAATAACGGAAGAAAGAAAGGGGGAAAGAATCTTGGCCAAGTCCTGAGAAAAGGGAGGCTGGCCCTCTGGGAACCCTCCTCGGCAGCCCTGTACTGAAGATGTGCATCTGGCCCAGACACTTGTGTATCTCAGCTCTGCACTGCCATGGAGGACCCAGCCTCTGCTTCCACAGGCGGAGAGTCCCCACTTGCCACACAGAGAAGAGACAGATGAAAGCAGCCATCCCAACCCAGGACTCAACAAACTAGCCCCTCCCTCAGCCCCATCCCACAAACTGGGGACTTAACGAGCAAGGTGGTAACAGGTAAAGAGGTCCTCTAAAAAGACATGCGCTTTCCTGAAAAGCGCCGAGTGTCGGGCAGCTAGCAGAAACATTACTGCTCTCAATACACCATGAGCTGAATAAGAACCGTGGTTGCTAAAATGTTTGACTCATTAAAGAGGAAAAATGAATGGACGGATGCAATGGGCAACTTGCTTGAATGTAGGATACCACAGGATTGGAAACAGTTCTGAAATATTAAATCTGAGGCACGTGAACAAATACATATTTACACACACACACACACACACACACACACACACACACACACACACACACAGGGGGGAGGGAGAGGGAGAGGGAGTTAAGATTTTCTTTTACAACAAAACCACATTTTATTTACAAGGCTGGGCCTTCTCCCAGCTGGTAAACGCATTTAGAGGCAAGGAAATCAGGCTTCACAAATAATGGGCAGCATTGTTAAGTGGAAGGGAAACCCTTGATCCTAAGGCAAACTTCCCATGTCTCAGCTCCACTGGGAAGGAATTGGGGACAGAAGACAGAAATGGAGAGGAGAGCTGTACACACCGGCCCAGCCAAACAGCCACCAAACCTCCAGCAGGGCTCAGAAGGCCATACCTGGCCTCACAGTCCCCTGTGTGCACACAGATCCATCAACAAGTGCCCTGCACCTGCCCCTCAGGGAATTCCAGCCAAGAGATTAGCTACCTGTTGTCCCCAGGTCATGGGGTATGCGCACTATTACGCGCGCGCTCCCACACACACACACACACACACACACACACACACACACTGCTGCAGACACAGCACATGGGTTCATGTTCCCCTTTGCTTCTGCTCAATGCCAAACCTCCATCCTTAATGGCTAACCCACAACAAGTACTATTTCTATAAGGTAGGTGGAGACAGTAAGGAAAGATGAGGAGAGGGGGGCAGGTTGTTAAATCAGTGTGCCACCAACGTCACAGCCGCCATCGCGATGCATATGTATGTTTACAAGAGATGTTCAGCACCCACGGAGCTCTGCCTCCTCTGACCAGAGACTTTATGCCTGCTTCCCAGGAAGCCAGAGCCTCAGCCGGCTAGCCTGTGCTTACCCACAGTCTGCAAAGCGTTCTTCGCATACTCTTCCGGGTGGGTACTCGGGAGACGCTGGACACAGCAGCAGTAACACCACCTACACTTGCACCCGGCACAGCGCCACACTTTCTGAGCGCCCATCAATTTTTAATTTATTGGATCAGAGGGAAAATAACAACCATAGGGAGGAGGAGGAGGGGGCTGGTGGGAGAAAGCAGGAATCAATTCTTGGGGGAGAAAATGATCTACGACTAGATGACGCAAGGCACGGCCAGAGGTTTTTATGAAGTTCTTCAACTGAGGGAATGGTGAAGAGCCCAGTGAGGGAGACTGGGAAGCAAAGAGTGAAGTGCACGCTGGGAGGTGTGCCTTACGCTGGGTCA